AACATAAAGGACCCCTTGGCTAGGTAAACCCTGTTGCTGCATTCTGACACCGGTTGCTACCTGTGTAGATGTCATACTGAGTGCTGTTATTACCCTCGTTTTACAAATGAACAAACTAGGCCCAGAGAGGTTACACACTTCATCTACTCACTCACTTATCATTCATTTATTCTTTTAATAAATTTAAATTAAGTATTGAGCACCCACCATGCACTGAGCTCTCTTCTATGGCTGTGAATGAAAGCTTCTGCCCTCATGAAAGTTACATTTTAATGGGGCAGACATGTATAAACAAAAAAGTACCCCCTCCCAGGTGGCACAGCTGAAATTGTAATTGAGCAAAGGACCTCAGTCTGGTTGCAGAGCCCATGGGTTTGACCACGACTGCAAGGCCACATTGAGAGAGAAGAGAACACAGGCCCTGGAGAAGGTGATCCGGCATCTCCTGAAAAGCCTTCAGGATGGCATGACTTGGGTGAGATGACCACAGTCCAGGGGGTCTTTCCAGAACCACCTCATTCTACAAGTTCCACCCAGGGAGAGGATATCCCTCCCAGGGACAGCTGCCTTTACCGCTCTTAGGATACCATTTTATGTGTTCAACTTTCCTGACCCCTGTAGCCCACATACCTACTCTATGTTCTTTCTTTCATGTTCTTGCTAGTGCAAATGTCAGTTCAATAAGGTACTAATGATTAATAAGAACTAACTTATTTTAGCAGAGCTAAATGAGCCTGATGCCAGGGTTTTCACATACATTGTACAACAGTGGACAGAAATAACTAAGTGGAGTTAGACAAAAACTTTTAATATCATTAAAGATTATCTGTAGAAGTAGGGCAGTTGGTGACAGGACTATCACCTGATGCTACATGGATTGACCTTTACTTAATAAAATTCCATTTGCCAGCCCTGCTATTCCTTCCTTAATGAAACCAAGGCTCTTCTTGCCTTATAAACGTACATATTTATAGATAAAGATCTTTTCTAAATATCCAGAGTTAATCTTCATTTACTAGTTTTGAGATTCATCTCGATTTTAACTTTTAAGAAAATATTTATATTGTTTAACTCCTTTGAAATATTTGGAGTTAACTAGACCTTTATCTTAGTCCAGTGTTTATTTAAGAACTCTAGAAACTTTATAAAGGATTTAAATCACTTTTGCTAAACACTGTTGGTAGTTCAATACAGGAAAAAAATATTTTCTCTGCTATTAATTCAGCTTGGTGTCAGATGTTGTCAGTCCCTTGCAAATCAGCTTCAACTGTTCAGCTTTAATTAACATTTTTTTTTTAATTTGTGAAAGATAGAGAGGAAAGAGGAGACCCCAAGGAAAAGACACCCAGACACCCTGAAGCCTTTCTAACAGCACCACACAGAACTGTGGGTTTTCCCTCTGAATCCTCTGTAATTAAGCGGTACAGGCAAATTTTGTGAGCACACTTGCTATGGAAAACGTTACACGCCTTTTCCTTCTTTCTTTCTTTTTGTTTTTTTGTAACATCATGTGAAATCCTTGCAAATACAAAGACCTTTTATTTATTGACAAAGGGAACAGTGATTCTAGACAAGCAGCTCTCTTGTCCTTCTCAAAAATAAGAAAGAGAATCTGTTGCATATTTCAGTGCAGAGCACCCAGAATGAAAACTGCATATTGTGTGTTATTTCTCCTTGATTTTGTGAATGCTTTCTATCAAACAGTGAAAATTATTTATGTAAACTTGCTCATGCCTTCTGCAAACGATTTGAAAAATAGAAATATTTTTAAGTGATTCGGGGTCAAGCATTGCATTACTGACAAAATTGAACAAAGTATTAACTTACCTGTTTTGGAGAATTTGAGATGAAATAAAGAAATGGGTGGAATGATTTCTTTTTCTTTCATACATTCCTGGGTAGGCAATTATGTATTCATCTGGAAACATGAATGGAGTGCCCTCTGTGTGCTGGGCTGTGTGCTAGGCCCTGGGGATGCAAGCATAAATAAGATAGGGCCCTTGCTTGGCACAGCTCACTTTTGCAAAGGAGATAGGCAGGTAAACAAATAATTACAATGATGGGAGCCCCAAACTCTAATCAAGAGCACCTGGCAGGCACAAGGGACTCCCTCCCCCAGAGACCCAGAGCCAGCAAAGAAAAAGAGGATGCAAATTGCAGCCAAACGATGCATTGATTTCAGATCTTTACAGATTCCAGCCAATGCTACGGAGACACTCAGACCGTTACCAGGCATTCCCTGTATGCATGGATGGCCAAAGTGCAGTAATTTTGGGATGGTCTCTGGCACAGGCAACTTCTATTTTTAAAGAGGCCTTCCTGGGGAAGTGCTGTATTCCTGTCCTTGTATAAGTTAGTCTGAGACTCAGGATGGAGCAAGAGAGCTCTGCTTTCAAAGACTGCCGTAGATTTCCCATGAGTCTCCAATTAATGTCATCTAAGTGCTTTCAGCTACATGTTGCCTCCTCAAAGAGTCCCTCACTGACAGAGGTGGATTTATGGTGAAACCAATGAGGCTTACATTTCAGAGCCCCTCACTTGCAGGGGTCCTTTGTAAGTTCTGGGAGGGACCCTAGTGATCTATTCATATGTATGTGTGTTTTTGTAAATGTTGCGAAAGTAAAATATTTTAACTACAATCAGTTAAAACTTAAGGCTACTTTTTCTTTTTATTCCAATTTTCTCTACCTCGTGCCTCTCTTCCATTGGCATTGGAGGACCTGGCAAAGGGGAAGTTGATTTAGGGGTTCATTGAATTGAGGGGAAGTATGTAAGTGTTTTGCAGTCACTTCCTTGTGTGGTACCCTGGTACAGCAATGATTTCCTGAAATACTCATCACTCACTGCCGACTACCTATTATCGTCACACGAAGGTATCTCAATATGAAAATGTCCTACAACATTCAGCACCAGAAGACAAGGATAGTATGGGAGGAGAGTGAGTTTGTTTTATTTTCTTTTTCTTTTATTTTTATTTGTTTATTTATTTTTGAGACAGAGTTTTGCTCTTGTCGCCCAGGCTGGAGTGCAATGGCACACTCTCAGCTCACTGCAACCTCTGCCTCCAGGGTTCAAGTGATTCTCCTGCCTCAGCCTCCCAAGTAGCTGGGGTTACAGGTGCCCACCACCACACCTAGCTAATTTTTTTGTATTTTTAGTACAGTTGGGTTTTCACCATGTCGGCCAGGCTGATCTCAAACTCCTGAACTCAGATGATCCACCGGCCTCGGCCTCCCAAAGTGTTGGGATTCCAGGCATGAGCCACCACCCCTGGCCAATTTTTTTTTTTAAGTGACAGGATCTCACTATGTTGTCCAGAATGGCCTCAAACTCCTGGGCTCAAGGGATCCTCCCACCTCAGCCTCCTTAATAACTGGGATTACAGGTGTGAGCCACTGTGCCTGGCAAAAGTGAGTTTGAAATGTGTGGAGTCAGAAGCTATCTGTGGGGCATCTTTTCAAAGCTTATAGCTCATATATGAAAGAAGTTTAATTGAGGCTTTCCCAATCTTGATAATAATCCTCAAAATTCACATAATTTTACCAAATAACAAGTCGTGAAGCTCAAAAACTTTTTAAAAGTATTAACAATAAATGGTTTACGACTTTAAGGAAAAGATTAAAATGTCTTTCTAGTCTCTTACTAAAAAGCAAATACTAAGCCATTATCACATAAGGAGGTAATCAAAATATATATGGTCGAATAATGCAGGAAAAGGTATTGTAGAGGTGTGTCAGGAAGTTTGATTAACTTTAATTCAATATTAATTTTTTTTCTGGATTTTGTGATGCTTATTTGTTAGCTTTTATTTGTAATTCTTTGTCTTCTCATTTTGAATAAATTTTCACGTTTGTACTAGCTTTGTATTCATGATTTCATAGTCTTTTACTTTAAAAAGGTCCCTCCAAATTCTAAGTCTCAAAATCTATAAAATCTGAATCCACCCGTTTCATGGTCATGCAGTCTAAAGCAACGGTACAGTCTCTCTGCTGTCGCTGAATTTCCACCTCTCCTAGCAGTTCCTACTGCCTGACTTTCCCCTTCTGAAGAGATGTAGCCCATGTTGCTGATGCTCTGCGCATGCCCCATGACCAGCCCATGTGCCCCACTCCTGTGCACGCAGCAGCTAACGCCTTATACCCATGGCCTTCTTCTAAGAAACGCTTTTGCCTAAGGAGCCTCTTTACCTGGGAGGCTACTGCAACACCCTGGGGTGGCCAGTGACTGACAGAGATGGGTACAAAAGCTCCCCCCTCTTGCCTTCAAGGACAACTCTGAAGGTGAAATTTGCACTTCAGGGCCCTGAGGGATCAGGCCCAGGCTAAATTTTTCTACAGCACCCCTCTACTTGGCTTCTTCCCTTTCCCCATCCTGATCTCCTCACCCTTTACAGGTTTTCCTGAGAAGAACATCCTCATAAATCACATGCACCCAAATCCCCATCTCAGTCCCTGACAGTTTATCTGCTTACTGTCTGTCCCCACTTCTCAAGAGGAAATAAACTAAGAGAGCAGCGACTTGACCCGGCTCCCTCACTGCTCTGTTCCTATTGCCTGGAGCTTGGCATGAAGTAACTACAACATGTGATGAGATGAATAAACGTTGAATGAGGATATGAATTCCAGTCGCTTTGCGTGTCTTTCCCCTAATTCTTGTGAATTCCAGTCGCTTTGCGTGTCTTTCCCCTAATTCTCGTGACAACCGAGAGGTAGATACTGCTTCTTTTCATATTACAAGGTAACAGCCCTAGGCAGTGCTCCGGCAGCCACTGAGCCCTGTTGTCCTCTGTTGGCACCATCACCTGACCTCCAGGGAAAGGGTCCAGCATTTCCCTGCATCGTCCTGACGCAGGTGTGGGTGTGGATCCCTCCCTGATCCAATGCAGGCTGTACTGTTGATGAAAGGACACGTGGCACAGAGCATAATTCAGACACACATGAGTCAGGACCCAGCCCGAGGCCCTTTCCTTGGCACATTCCCAGGCTCTCTCGCAGGTAATCTCCCAGGGACAAGGAAAGCCACCCTCCACCAACAGAAATGCTTCCGGCAATTGCATGACACTGAAGCTGCCAAGCATTGGCCAGATCTAGAGCAAAGAAAATATTCCTCCTACCACTACCAGGTAAGCTCCTTTCAGAGTCTCTGTCCTCTACTCTCAAACTGACCTCTTCCCAATGACAAGGGCTCATTCCCTTCAGCAGACACTCCCATCATCATGGGACCAATAGGATAACCTCATAGTATCTGGCAGTGTATTTCCAGAGTTTATGCTATTTGCTCTTAAGTAACTCTCTCTACCCCAACAAGTAATCTATGAGTGCCTACCCTAAGCTCTGGGCAGAGTTTTTCAGTTTCTTCTCAGGGAAGTCATATAAAATTTTGTAGTGTGCTTTCATCAGCGACCGTCTTCTTACAGAGGAGTAAACCAAAATGCATGCATTGAATATTTTATAGCTTGGGTGTGAGAATAAGATGAGCCCACATGAGACAATTATCAGTACAAAACTAAATTGTAAATAAGACAGGGAGTTAGAATCTACCTAGAAGGCTAGAGAGCTTTTGTTGGAGCTTCCAAAAGGAGAGGGTGAGATCAGCTTTTGTTAGCTGGAGTTTGTGGGAAATCACAGACATGATGCATTTCCTTTTGGCACTGGTTCATTTGGCAGGGACACGTCACCTAAGGTGATGAGGATGAGCTCAGGGGGCTGGCTCTCCACCAGCCTCTGCAATGGATGGAAGTGGGGGAGCTACTTGGCTTCCCCCTGTTGTTGCATTTTCTCTTCCTCAGCATCTGATTCTCTTTCCGGTCTTCCCCCTTCCTATCCTTCCCTCTTTCTCCCCTCCACTTTCCGTTCATCTGACCCCTCTTTTCTTCCCTTTTCCTTTTGAATTTAAGGTTTGGTCAGTTTGAGACATACACTCTACTTGTGAGGCACAGCAATTTGTGGAGGAGAAAGGGATCCTGAGTGAAACAGACCTGGATGCCAGCTCAGATTTGTGCCTTACAGGCAAGTTATATAACCTCTCATAGCTCTGTGCCATCCATAGAAGTGAGGACACAAAGCTTTCTCAAGTTATTTGAAGGAGTAAACAAGATGATTTGTAAAGTGCCTGGCACGTAGAAGGCTCTCAGTGGACGTTTATTTTGCCCTACTTCCTTCCTCCTTATTTGTTTTTGTAGTACTATACACATATTAAAAAGTAGTCATTAAATGGATGCTTATTAAATGAGTATTTGGAGTTCAATTAGTAAACTGTCAAATACTTAGAATGATTAAGATTGGGAGGGATTTAATAATTATTATTATAATACTTTGGGCTAGGCACTGGGATTAGAGAAGTCCTTGTCATATAATATCTGACATGACTCTCCCCAAATGCATAAGGTAGGCATTATTTTTATTACCCAAGATGTAGTCTTTATTACTCAGGGTCGACATTTCATTTTACAGATTAAGAAGCTGAGGCTTAGAGGGGGTCAAGTAATTTACATGAGGTCACAGAATGGAATCTTGACACCAGAATCAAAGCCTTCAACTGCTAGGTTAGACTGCAGAGTCATTTAATATTTTTGATCTCCTGCAGCCCATAAGGAAGGTAGAGCCCAGCATTTGGAGCATCATTTTTTTCCTGACTGCAAAGTGAAGCATTCTTCTTAAAGACAGTATAAGTAATGTGGAGTTATGCAAAATTGAAAGATTTGAGACAGAGTCGTATTATTCTCACAGGAAAGGATTAAGGGGTGGGGGGATGTGGAAAATTAGGAGTATGGGAGGAAAATGTATTAAGCGACATGTTCTAGGGCAGCCCAGAGCTGGTGGATAATAGAAAGGTCTAATGGGGAATCTTATTAGGTTGTTTCCTGTTTAAAATTTATTAAATCAGTTTAGCCCAAAGCTGCCTCCTTACATATATTAAGTTCAGCCTAAGGGTATCTCTGTACATCATGAACTATAACAAGTGGAAGTATAAATAGACCATAGTCTACACTTGTGCCAATCATCAAGGTTTGACCAATCAGATGTAGCTAATTGAACCGTATTCAAATAAGGCAAACAACAAACTGTAACCAATCCAGCTGTTTCTGTAGCTCACTTCTTTTTTCTGTACGTCACTTTCCTTTTTCTGTCCATAAATCTTCTTCCCCTATGTGGCTGTGCTGGAGTCTCTGAGCCTATTCTGGCTCAGGAGGCTGCCCAATTTGCAAATTGTTCATTGCTCAATTAAACCCCTTTAAATTTAATTCAGCTGAAGTTTTTCTTTTATCAGATGGTGTCAGAAGTGGGATCCAAAGTAGAGTTTCTAACATCCCCTAGGAGCACTGAGTGACCAAGTGAGGAACTCTCTGGACCCATTGTGTCCAATGATCTCTTGGAGCAGCTGGGGATTGTGGTAAGTTCTCTCTCAGATTCCAAAGTTCCACGGATTTGTGTTTTTAGCTCTCTGAGTTTCTTTGAGCAAGCTTCTGATCCAAACTGGATTTGGAAGTTGTGACAAGAAACTGGACTGGGTCCAGTAATTAACTGGTTTGGATTCAGCTAGAGGCTTCTTGCATCTGACTGGGTCAGAAAGAAACCAGTAGTAAATGACAATGTTGCAGGGGGTGTAAAATTTGGCTTTTAGAAATTCATGGGAATTTTCTTGTTCTACCCCTTTGGTTCATTTTTCTTGTGCACTTAGGTAGGAAAAAAATCACTGGTTAGGTTGATCAAGGGAACCTGAAAGCAAAGCCAATATTTGAGGTAACAATGAGATCCTTAATTTCTGAAGAACTGAGTTCCTTCTGGCTTATACATGCACAAGTGTTAGGCCCTATAAGCAACAAAGTCTTAAAGAAATGGCAAAATCTTACTAAAGATAAATTACAGTGGAACTTTCCAAATGAACAACACTGCACTGAAGTGTGTTAGAAAATGAGGGCTTCCAAATTAGTCTCATCTAAGGATGTGTATTGATATGCAGAAGTTTGTAAAAATATTTCAGTATTTTTATTTGAAGGCTTTATAAAAGGCAAATTAAAAGCTTAAATGACTAATTGATTAAAAAAATTAAATCTGCTAACCTTTTGGCTTAGTTACTATTCTAATCCAAAGGAAGTAACTGCAGCACCAGTTGGCTGACTTTGGCTAAGTAGTGGAGTACATTTTACCTGTGCTGGGTTAGAGGATTGAGTTAGAGGCCCTCCCCTCAGTAAAGTCCCTCTTGGTTAAGAATGGATTTGGCACTATGGGCTGTTAACTGTTATTCTCTTTGAATTAATCTGTCTTGCACTATTTGCTGATGACAGTGGGTGACAGAATTAGGCATGTACAGGATCATGGGACCTGGGGAAACTTTTTCTCCCCAAAGGGGGAAACTTGAGGGCTGATGGGATTACTGGAAAATATCCCTTTTCAACTGACATGTGGCCATCTGAACTTTTGATTCAGCGTCGCTACAGTGGGTGGGTCTTACTCTGGCCTCTCTGAGTGGCTTGCCCTCTTTACCCTGCTGCAAGCAATGCTTTTCTCCCTTTCCTTTCCTTTCCTCTCTCTCTGTGCAAAGTGGTTGTAGGAATGGTAAAAAATTACTATCTCTTGTGAAGTTTTAATTAATGAGAAAAGAATTCGTGAGGCTGGTCTTAAGCTGTAGCAAATCTGGTGTACTCTGTGCTATGAATTTGTCTTTCTGCATCGTTCAGTCATAAAAAGAGGTACCATAAGATGGAATGCAGGCCTAGCCCCCATAAGCTTGCTGCTCAAGCCAACCCAGCAAACTGGTCAGTTATAAACTTTGCTGCAGGTCCCTGAAACAAAAAACAACAACAAACTGGATGAGGTTTCCCTCTTGTCTTGTTTCATGCTCTTGTGAGCTTGAACTTGTAACCACAGGGTGGTACTTTCTCTTGGCCTCTGCCATCCAGGAAACAGGAATTTGGGCGTTCATGTGATAGTTAGTTCTAAAAATTATTGTGAACATTTAAAAGCCATTGTAGCTCAAAATTGACTGCTCTAGGCTCCTTCTGGGAAGAAACAACAGAAACTGCCCAATGTTGTAGCTTCATGGTGAAGGCTTTGTCTCTTCTCAATGGCAGCCAGGATTCAATTCCTGGCTTAGGGGATGAGTCCTTTCTGGTTTGATATCTAAGTGGCTATTGCTATTTATTGATTCTCTTCCTCTCCTTTTGACTTCCCATCTTGAATTCTTCTTTCTCTGAGCACCTGGGAGGTTACCTTTGGTAAAGTTCAAAAGCCAGAAATATTTGCTATTTGTTCCAGCTAGAATCCAGTTAAAAAAATATTTGGTTAAAAGTCAGCGTAGGCCAGGTGCAGTGGCCTATGCCTGTAATCCCAGTACTTTGGGAGGCCGAGGAGGGCAGATCACTTGAGGTCAGGAGTATGAGAGCAGCCTGGCCAAAATGGCGAAACCCCATCTCTACTAAAAATACAAAAAAAATTATCCAGGCATGGTGCTGTGCGCCTGTAATCCCAGCTACTCAGGAGGCTGAGGCAAGAGAATCGCTTGAACCTGGGAGGCAGGGGTTGAGGAGAGCCAAGATTGCACTGCTGTACTCCAGCCTGGGTGACGGAGTGAGACTCTGTCCCCCAAAAAACAAAACAAAACAAAACACTCAGTTAAAAGTGGATATTCAAGCCATAGGTATAGTTAAAAGGCATTTATGGTTTTTTTCTCTTTTTGGATCTTTTTTTTTTTTTCTTTTCAGGCAACTGAATTGTTTTTCTCCATTTTTTTCTTCTTGCCACTCTTGATGCATACATGAGAGGACCTAAGATAACTTCTAACAGTCTAGGACTCCTTGGGAAAAACAGAGGAGGTGCCACAGACCCTGTTTTGGGAAAAACCTGTGTTTTCCTCATGAAACCCCAGGAATTAAAAGCAGATAGATCGCTCTCAAAATCTAAGGCTAAATATACTTTTAGGGATGGCAAATGGCAGTTGGGGAAATACTCAGCTCTTTGCACATTGGATCAGAGAAGCATGCTCTTGGCCCCCTGGAAAGTATGGAAATGTCCCCACTCCCCACCAAGAGATAAGACTCCCATTGGGGTGTGCTAATCACAGAGTGGGCTGATCAGCTTTGGGTGGCTTTGCAATGAAATGCACAGTCAAATCATTGCACTGTCTTGTTCCATAGCATTTCTCTTTTGAGGATACAGGATCCAGTATAAAATTGGGATCCTGTATTTCTGGAGATCTGTACTTATATATTAGGACCTAGAAACTACATATTTTCTTAGCCCTGTTCCTCCAAGGACTCCACCCTGAATCCAGTAATCCAGTTAAGAAACTTAAAAACTGGCAAACCAAACATCTTACAACTACTGGATCTTCCGTGTTTCTATGTGTTTATTTGTGTTCTGTGTGTGACATTTGTGTATGAAAGAGCTCTGATTAACTGGCTTAAAAATAATAAACACTTAAATCAAAAATTTTGTAAGAAAAATTAAAACTGTAATGCCTTTTAATTCATGTGACTTTAGTAAGCTTTGGGAAATAAATAAAGACATTCGGTCTAAATTAGGCAGATCACATACTAGATTCGCTAAATAACCCCCTAGGTTGGAGTGCAGTGGCGTGATCTTAGCTCACTGCAACCTCCGCCTTCCAGGTTCAAGCAATTCTCCTGCTTCAGCCTCCTGAGTAGCTGGGATTACAGGCACCCGCCACTATGCCCAGCTAATTTTTGCATTTTTAGTAGAGATGGGGTTTCACCTTTTTGGCCAGGCTGGTCTCAAACTCCTGACCTCAAGCAATTCACCCGCCTTGGCCTCCCAAAGTGTTGGGATTATAGGTGTAAGCCACTGCACCCGGCCTAGATTTGCTAAATACTTTAAGGTAATAAACTGTTTCTTTGACTTTTGAAAATTTTTCAACTTACCTGCTTTGGAACCTGCTTTAGATTTGAAGTAAGTTCTAAGGACCTGTGGAGTTAGCCAAGCTCCCTGGCTATGCTAAAAAGAGTCAGACTTTATCTATACTTCTGTTTGGTGTCCTAGGCTCCACACCTGGTACATAATTAAAATCACCTACTTACCAGGGTTTTTCACCAAAAATAAAAATTGCTAGGAGTTAATATTGTAACATGTAACTCTGACCACTGAAAAAACCGTTTTACATGCAAGGTGTGTGAGGAAAGTGAAATGTGCTTTTAGCAAAAGATTATAAGAAGGAGCAGGAATATAAATTGTTGTCTAGTTTAGAGGGTTAAAAGATTGTTTTAAATTAGGATAAAGCTGAAGGTTTGAGCAAATTGTGGAAGATTTATGAAAAAGTAATCTTGTAAAAAAATTCTTGGCTGGGCACAGTGGCTCATGCCTGTAATCCCAGCACTTTGGGAGGCCAAGGCAGGTGGATCACGAGGTCAGGAGATTGAGGGCATCCCGGCTAACATGGTGAAACCCCATCTCTACTAAAAATACAAAAAATTAGTGGGGCATGGTGGCGGGAGCCTGTAGTCCCAGCTACTTGGAAGGCTGAGGCAGGAGAATGGCGTGAACCTGGGAGGTGGAGCTTGCAGTGAGCCAAGATCGCGCCACCACACTCCAGCCTGAAGACAGAGCGAGACTCCATCTTAAAAAAAAAAAAAGAAAAAGAAAAGAAAAAGAAAATTCTGTGTGTGAACATATTGGCTACATTTAAAGGGGTATTATTTGTTTTTTCTGTAAATTGAACATTGAAATAAAGGCACAACAGGGTTTTCTTAGAGCACTGATCTGCTCTTTAACAAATATTTGTAAAAGTTTATAAAAGATTTATGAGAATCTCACCTTATGATCAAACTGATTAAGATTGGATAAATTTGCCTATATGATTTATTAAAGATTGGGGTTGACATTAAGAGCATACGAATGTGAGGGTGAAATTTAGCTTTCTCTTTTGAACAAGATTTTTGCATGATATTGAAGGATAATCAAATATTTTTGTTTGCCTTTTGAATAAGCTACAGGAAAAAGAAGAGAAACACAAGAGACAGATTGTTTGGAAAACTAAGTCTTAGTTAGTAAAGGTTTCTGCCTTTTTAAAATTTTTGAGTCATCATTTTGGCTAAATGAATGACTTATGGTGACCAGGAATTCTATCTCATAATATCAAGTGTTTTAAACCTTTCACATATTTGACAGGCTTCCCAAAATCAAATTTCAGCTTCAAAATGGTCTTTTCTGACCTCTAACTTTGGGATACTACAGAGGTCCCCTGAGGCTATTTAACATGTTAAGTTACATGGGAAGCATTGTCAAAATAAAAAACAAGGTTTAACCTTCTTCAGGTTACATTTTAGTGAGTGTTATTAATATATGTTCCAAATTGTATGGGATTTCTAAAATTCTAATATGTTTGAATATATGCTATCAATCATAAGTATGGTTATTATGTTAAATTATTGTAGATGATGGAAATAACCAAATATGCTTGTCAATTGTGTCTTTTAACTATGACTACTTAAAGTCATTTCCACAGTTCATTGCTTAATGCTCATGCAGTTTCTGAAAACTTCACAAGCATGCAAAATCCTAGAATATAGCATATTTTAGGAGGTTCATGAAAGAATGGAAAGGACTCTGAAAATTACTCTTGAATACAGGTTTTGGATAACTTTAGAATCATATCATCTGGACTAGGTAAGAATTCTTGGAGCTTTAATGAAAAGACTGACTGGTTTACAAAACTGCTAACCCAAGTAGAACAAAAATTAATTGAATACCAAGAAAATACTTTGCCAGATTTTCATGCTAAATCAGCTGATACTGAAATTGTTTAGATATACAATTTGAATGAACTCCATGGTCTAAGTCAAATTACCTATGATAACCCATTAGTTTTCAGTGCTGTGCACCTAAGTTGGAGAAACAACTGGTATTCAAGAGGACATATGTCCAGTGTTAAGCATGGAATCACAGAGAACCAGGGCAGCTGCCTCGTCCTTCCTGAGTTCTCAAAGCTTTTGTTATTAAAAGTTCTGCATTCCATGACTCACCATGGGAAAGATACAATGATCCAAATTAAATATATATTGGTGTGGTGACTTCTAAATTACTAAAATAGTTTATGACCAGTGTTTGGTTTGTCAAACCCGTATTACTGGGAAGACAATCAAAGCTTCAGGTACATTCAGCTACCTGATGGGCCATTTAAACACTTATAGAGGAATTTCATTCAACTGTCATTTTCAATGCATGTTTTCTGGTTTTATAAAAGGTCTCCCATGCAAGAGGGCTGATGTTATAACAGTATGTTATTATACCACAGTATTTTTTCACTAGGTAAAGACAACTTTTTATGGTTTACTGACTGAGGACAATCAACCCCTTCACAATCTAGAACCTGAAGATTGGATCTTCTGGGAACATCAGAGAAAGCCTGCCCTTGCCATCTGCACTGCAGCAAAACTTCAGGACCTTGAACCTCATGTTCATAATCTCACAACTAAGAAGGATCCCTCCACACTCTTGGAACTGTATACCCACTGGAACCCTTTAGGTAAAGTTAACCAGGGAAGTTCCTCCCCAGAAGAAGATGGCATCCTTGATGTGAGCAGCTTTTCCCAAGATCACAGATCACAACTTCTCTACTATCATGAGACTCTTATCTTTAGATATTTTTTCCTTAGTTATGACTCTGTGGACAATAGAAGTGAAAGAGGGGTCTGTTGTGTGCACTCACGGGGTACACTTTTATTTGTAAAGGATTTTGCAGCCAGCCTTATACATGGATAACCTCATACCTTGATAGATGAAAAATTAAGGCCCAATGTAGATGAAAAGCTAATGGTACCTGTGTTGCCTCATAATCAGTCAGAAATAGAACATTGGTTCACTCCTCTTAATCCATACCATGGGTTAAAGAGAACATTGCCTGAAGGCCTTCAATCTTCTAGAAGGGCATCATTTGTTAGGCCCCTTTTCCATGGTTTGGAATAAAAGAGGCAATGATTAGAAATGTATCCCTCATGGTAGGCTCTATAGTAGATTCTACTGTAAAGGCTATGGTTACACAACAGACTTTAAATTATCTTGTGAAAGTTACGCTGAATAACAGAATTGCTCCAGATTATTTAGTGGCTAAATGGAAAAGTATTTGTGCAGCTGCTGGCACTTGAGTGGTCTATGAAAACATACATCAAATGTAGATTATAGAGATTCAGTTGTAGTGGATTAAAGAAGAGACTACTTAGTTAAGTGAGTCAGTTCTTTATCTAGCTCATTCTTTGATGTATTTAATTTTAGGTGGTTTGGTTTATGTGGACCCTGGGTAAGGAGCACACTCCAAACATTTGGTATGATCCTCCTGATAGTCATAATAGTAGTCTCCCTGGTGTGCTGTATTCCCTCAATACAGCACAAATTTTAAATGTTTGCATGAAGCCATCTCAAGAATGTCAAATGGTCTCTCTTTAACTGGAATGACAAGAGCTGAAAGGAGTAAGTGAGCATGAGGGCACCATAACCTATGAATAACATGCTGAGACCAGAAACCCAAAATTGTGGGTGCCGCTGAGGCTCTATGTTTTGATCACGCTCTTACCTAAATAAGAACCTGATCAAAAAGGGGGAATTTTTTAAAGCAAAATTACGGGAGGCCATTGTTTTGAGAGCTTGTTTGGAGGTTCTAGCAGAAGGAAATGTGGGGTGGGACCCCCTACACAGAGTCCCTGTTGGGGCACCACCTAGTGGAGCTGTGAGAAGAGGACCACTGTCCTCCAGACCCCAGAATGGTAGATCCACTGATGGCTTGCACTGTGTGCCAGGAAAAGCAGACACGCAACACCAGTCCATGAAAGCAGTTGGGAGGGAGACTGTACCCTTCAGAGCCACAGGGGCAAAGCTGCTCAAGACCATGGGAACCCAACTCTTATATCAGGGGGACTTGGATGTGAGACATGGAGTCAAAGGAGATCATTTTGGAGCTTTAAGATTTGATTGCCCTGCTGGATTTCAGACTTGCATGAGGCCTGTAGCCCCTTTGTTTTGGCCAATTTCTCCCAGTTGGGATGGCTGTATTTACCCAATGCCTATACCCCCACTGTATTTAAAAAGCAACTAACTTGCTTTTGATTTTACAGGCTCATAGGCAGAAGCCTTGTCTCAGATGAGATGTTGGACTGTGGACTTTTGAGTTAATGCTGAAATGAGTTAAGACTTTGGGGGATTATTGGGAAGGCATGATTAGTCCTGAAATGTGAGGACTTGAGATTTAGGAGGGGTTAGGGGTGGAATGATATGGTTTGGCTATGTTCCCACCCAAATCTCATCTTGAATTCCCATGTGTTGTGGGAGGGACCTGGTGGGAGGTAATGGAATCATGGGGGCAGGTCCTTCCTGTGCTATTCTTGTGATAGCAAATAAGTCTCATGAGATCTGATGGTATTATAAGGGGGAGTTTCCCTGCATAAGCTCTCTGTTTGCCTGCTGCCATCCATGTAAGGTGTGACTTGCTCCTCCTTGTCTTCTGCCATGATTGTGAGGCTTCCCCAGTCACACACGGAACTGTGAGTTCTCCATTAAATGTCTTTCCTTTGTAAATTGCCCAGTCTCGGGTATGTCTTTATCAGCAGCATGAAAACGGACTAATACCAAGGCCAAATAAGTACATTTACAATGGTGATAGTGACATCAGTGACTAAAGCTTTGGTCAACTTTCAAAATTGAAAAGATGATCAAAAGGGGAGAACTGTTAAATTAAGTTTAGCCTAAAGCTGCCTCCTGACATATTTAAGTTCAGCCTAAAGGTTTCTCTGTACATCATAAACTATAACAAGTGGAGGTGTAAACAGACTGTAGCCTACACTTGTGCCAATCACTGAGTTTTGGTCAATCAAATGTAGCCAACTGTTCAAACCGTGTTCAAATAAGGTAAATGCTGAGTTGTAACCAATCCAGCTGTTTCCGCCTCTCACATCTGTTTTCTTTGCATCACTTCCCTTTTTCTGTCCATAAATCTTCTTCCCCCAAGTAGCTGTGCAGGAGTCTCTGAGCCTATTCTGGCTTAGGAGGCTGCCCAATTAACAAATCATTCATTGCTCAATTAAACTCTTTTAAATTTAATTCAGCTGAAGTTTTTCTTTTATCAAATGTGATATAAGCCATCTTTTTGTCTTCCACAAAATATCTGATAAGATTGAAATTGTTCTCTGAAGCTTTATGAACAGTCTTTGCTTGGCGCAGATGTGATGTAGGCTGTACCCTGTTTTCAAAGCTAGAGGAGATGGCTCCCAAGGACCCATCACACCTGGGCTACAGATAAATGAAATCCAGGTCATCTTTTTCTACTTGCCTCCCTTCCCCCACCATTATTTATTCTCCTTTTCTTCTACATGCACAGCCTTGTTTTCTAAGCTCGTAACCTTAGTAATTATACTTCTGCTCCAAAATACTTTATTAGGCCCTATAGGGGATCTAGATGTGGATATGATAGGGTTCCTCTGGAGTTCACAAGAACCTCATATATCATTTAAATGAAGCAGAGTTGGATATGAGGTTCTCCTATGTAAAATAATCCTTAAGGATATCAGCATTTTGGTCATTGCAATACCACCAAATTGGTGTTGGATCATAACTGTGTCCAATCAGTTCCTGATTAACTGTTTTCTAATAAACAGATCACAAGTGAAACCTTTAAAATATAAGTTGGTAAAATCCTAACAATGTGCTCTCTCATCTTACATAGAAACTGCTAATAGATCAGCCTGTATATTGCTGCCAGCAATATGAAATTGAAACTGCCTTTGCAAAATTATGACTGAGACTGTGAAAGAGATCTAACCTAACCGACTCCATCTTGCTTCTTACCTTTAAGCTGTCCTTGTCCCTTCCTGGGTGTAGGCTGAACTAACTTTGGGAGGAGCTTAGTTTATAGTTTAAAACAAAGATGACAACAGCCCTTTTCCAAAACAAACCCCCTTCTTGCCTGGGGACTAGACTGCCTTTGTAGGACTAACAAATTAGCCACAAGATTAGAAATTATGGTTTAGGAGTCATGCAGCTGAAGACTACAAGATTCTGACCCTCCCTAATCTACTCCCAAGATCAGTGCTTGAGATATTTTGCAGACCCTGCACTTGATGGATCAGCTGGCATCACCCATACATCGATAAACTGGCTCATCTGATCTTGTGGCCCTCAACCAGGAACTGACTCAGTTCAAAAGGACAGCTTCAACCTCCCATGATTTCATCTCCAACCCAACCAATCAGCACTCTCAATTCACTGACTTTCCCCCTCCCACCAAATTATCCTTAAAATCTTTGTTCCTTGAATGCTCCGGGAGACTGATTTGAGTAATAATAAAACTCCAGTTTCCCACACAGCCTGTTCTGCATGAATTACTCTTTCTCTATTGCAATTCCCTTGTCTTGATAAATCAGCTCTGTCTAGGCATTGGGCAAGATGAACCCACTGGGTGGTTACAAAATAATGGCCAGAGCAATGCTTTTGGACCATGTTTAAAATGCCAATAATTTAAACATGAATTTTGCATGCCTGGAAAATTTAGTACGGCTTCTTAAACTTTAATGTACATGCAAATAATTTGGAGAACTTGTTAAAATGCTTATTCTGATTCAGCGAGTCTGGGATACAGCCCAAGATTCTGCATTTTTAATAAGCTCTCAGGTGATGCCAATGCTGGAGCTTCATGGACCACACTTTTGAGTAATAAAGGTTTAGTGGATGGCGACTGTTTCCTCTCTTGCATTTTCTGCAGTTATGAAGAAGGGGAAGGGCAGATCCTGCAGGTATGAGTTCCTGAATTGACATTTCCTATCTTTAGAGTCCAGGAAAATTGTATTGCATTTACTTTCTAAATATTTGCTTTTCTGATCCCAAGATTGTTCTTCATGTACCTGTTTAGGCCACACTTTTGGCCATCCTAGGACTCACACAATGATATTAAAATAAAGTTGTTTGTTTGTTTTGGGTGAACCATGATTTTAATATAGCAAACTCAAAGGAGCCAGAAGACATGAGGGTTGACTCACCAGTCATGATGGTGCTGTCACACTGTTTATCAGTATGATAAGCCAGACAGCTATTGCAGGAAGCTGTCAGTTCACCAAGTCCAAGTTTGAGAAGGGTATTTTTCACTTGAGATTTAAAGAAGGCAGAAATAACATGCTGGGCCAAAAACTGTGTCAGAAGATGGACTGGAGTAATTTCTTTCAAGAAACGCAGTGGCCATACTATCTTATAGTTGTTTATTGATTTACCATTGCAGAGCACCTTCATCTAAGTTGTATCGTTTAATCTTCATGAAAACCCTAGGAGGCAGCCTTAAAAAAAAACAGATAAAGAAACAAGGGCCAAGAGATAGTGATTTATTCAAAATCACTTGCTAGAGTAGAGCTAGGACTAGAACAGAGGTCATTAGCCTAGTCATCTTCTTATGACAACATTGGTAACTATATCACACGGATGTTTCTGTTATGCCTTCTCAAGCAGGCATCAGTAATTGATCCCAGAATTCCTTTTCACTTGAGCCCTTAGCTTCACAATCCTCCCAACTTTATGTCCCAGAAAGCTAAAAAGCCATTGCCAAAGAAGTGGTCATGGTGTGGGATAAGAAACCTAGTTTCCTCCTGGCAACACTAACTTTAATTATCCACAAGGACGAATTACAAAGAGATACATCTTTCTTGGGTATCTGTACGATGATAAGCATTCGTTTTTCAGGTTTGGTTAAGGATTATACATGTAGGGGCAGAGAATGACTCTGGAGGTCCTTTTCAACCCTGGAATTCCAGAAAGTTAACCTCATAGTTTCCCCATGGCATTGCCCTGATGTTACAGTGAGAAGCTATACAGGCTGAGGCAGGCTGAATTCTAAGATGAGTCCCAAGATTCCTACCCCCTGATGTTCACCCCATGTAACATCCTCCTCTTGGATTTGGTTGAGACTTCTGATCTACTTCTGGTCAATAGAATATGGCAAAGGTGAAGGGATTTTTGAAGATATAATCAGGGCTCCAAATCAGTGTGTTTTGAGTTAATCAAAAGGGAGATTATCCTGGATGGAACTGGTTTAATCAGGTACTGGACTCTCTCTTAGGTCAGAGACTCTCTGCTGTTGGCTTTGGAGAAGTACACTGCCATGTTGTGAGAGAAAGGAGAGGACTGCCTGGCAAGGAACTTCAAGTGACCGTTGGAGTTGAGAGTAGCCCCTGGGCACAGCCAGTGAGAAAAGGAGCTCAGTCCTATGACCACAAGGAAATGAGTTCTACCTGCAATCTTTGGAAACAAATCTTTCCCAGTTGAGCACCCCAGATGAAAATGTAGCCTGGCTGACACCTTGCTAGCAGTCTTGGGAGACCCTAAGTAGAGGGCCCAGTTAAGCCATGTCCAGCCTCTTGACCCACAGAAACTGTGGAGTAGTAAAAGTGTGTTGTTTTAAGCTGCCAAATTTGTGATAACTTTTTATGCAGTGACAGAAAACTAAGTCACATGCCTTTTATTACATCTTGCTTAAATTTTAACCTTGCCTCTGTTTCTCAACTGTGGATCTATTTACCTATTCAAAATATAAGGTGGGCTGAGCACGGTGGCTCATGCCTGTAATCCCAGCACTTTGGGAGGACAAGGTGAGTGGATCACTTGAGGTCAGGAGTTCGAGACC